AGCAATGTGTACAGCAAGGACACACACACCAATCCTCATGGGTGCCTCACAGTACAGCGTTAGATGCCAGTGATCCAAGCCAGCGTTTCACTGAGTGCTTTCTCAGATCAGTGGCTTTGGAGAAAAAGAGGCAAAAGAAGCCAATTAACATTGGTGCATCATCCTGCCAAAACCCCCAGGCACGTGGTAAGATCACTGTGCCTCCAGCTGGGCTAGCCATCAGCAGGCTTGCAGCAGAGAGGCGTCAGCACCAAAAAGGGACCACGAGGACGCTCTGAGCACTCCTCCAATAACACATGTAGCAGCAGAGGCTGCCAACTGATCAAAAAAAAGGATGAAAGTCCAACCATAAACAGAAGATTGGATACAGCATTCCTTTCTCTTTCAATTCAGCCTCCAGCTGACCTCAGCTGAACTGCTGAGCAAAGTTTGACTTGATGATCAGCAGGCACCCCCTGCTCCTGCCAGGGGAAAGGCCAGGTAGGGCCAGCTGGAGGAACAGCCTCACCCCTCCAAGCGTACGGTGCTGGAGCCCTGAGAATGCCCAGCTCACACAAAAGAAGCCTTACTTGTGGCACCCAGACGTCGTGTGTCTCTGGCAATGTAGTTTGCAAAGATAATGGACCTCATGCTGGTCTTCCCAGACCCGCTTTTACCCATCAGCAGCACCTGCAGAGATGGAAAAAAAAGAATTAGCTACCGCAGAGCACTGCCTCCTCCATGGCTCCCATCTTGCAGCTGTAGCAACCAATTGACAGGACTCTGGTACTACAGATTGAAACCATAAGAGAACCATACCTGGGAAATCAGGAGGCAGGTGGCATTACCTCCTTGCTTCACACCCTAAAATCCTTTCCATCCTGTTTGTGTTCCCAACACCATGTCCACCACCCTTCTATTTTGCTCTCTCAGGAATTGCTGCCCTTCAAGGCGCTGCACTCCTTCCAGCATGGTGTGTAACACTCAAAGTTCAGCCAGCCTGCAGACGCTGCTGCCCATAACCCTTTTTCCTACACACCATGGCAGAGAACCCATCGCCAATCTCCTCTTTCCCCAGCCCTTCGCAGGCTGCAATGTTTTTCAAGCACTGTCACCAGTGGTAAAAAACTTGATGTTTTCAGTGAGAGCAAAGGACCAGTTTTATCTCAAGCCATTAAAGCCATGCTGAAAGCTATCACTTGCCTACTCAGCACTGGCATTCTCCATTCATTACTTCTCTCCTAATCTTGCTCTTTCCTTTTTCATAACACAGTCTGGTTTCTCTCCCCTGATAGAGGTGAAATACAAGTTCCATGTTGAGTTTCAGGTGTCAGAACCCTAGCAGAAAGCTAAAAGCATTTGGAACAGCCCAACTCAGGTACACCAAGCTGCCATGCGGGGAAAACAGTCTCCGTCCCAGAATCCAGTCCACAGATCCTCAGGCCAAAAGAGAGGCAGCACCTCTGGCAGCAGAAAACTGTGGGATGGCTGAGTGGAGAAGAGGTGGAAACGATCACACAAGGCAAGACTCTGCATCGTGATCTAAAAATAAATGCAAAACCAGTGGCAGCCAACGTGGACTTGCTCACAAAAACAGCTGTGAAACAAGTTCCAGTTACAAAGTCAAATCCAACCTTTGGCAACAGCTCTGAAAATCTATCGTCAAGGATCAGTTTAAAGAGAGTACAACCAGCACTGGTGTTTTACCCCAGTGCCAGGGGCTGCTGGGAAGCAGCTTGCTCAGTCCTCACCTTGCTGCAAGTGCCTCAGAGCAACACACGCAGCAGCGTCCTGTGGCCCCAGGTGCTCTTCTGGGAGCAACTGCAGCATCATAGAAGAAGCAAAAGCCCCTTTCATAAGGAACTGACCATGCAGTGAGGACATTTACTCAGAGTCCCCCATTTTGCTCAGAAGAGCCCTAATGGTTTTGTGACAAAGGCTTTTCTCAAAGCAGTTGGCTGCTCAGGTCACGCCCACCAGCCCAGCTGAAGCCAGAATCCAAAAAGCTCCATGCAGAACAGGAAAAGAACAGCAGCATCTCCTACTTCACATCACCTTAAGACATTCAGTGTGGCTCCAAGATGCAGCACAAGCCAACCTACAAGGGAACCTAACTCCCAAGCATCAGGCTACAGTGGCCTTTTGGGGAGGTCAGACACCAGTTTACAGGGCCAGAGAGGAAACTCAATCCTCATGCAACACGGAATGAGAGCTGAGCGCTCCTCACATCACTGCCTGAGCTAATCTGAATTTGCTCACTGCTGGGACACACAAGGCATAGCTGATGCCTCACCCTGCGTTTGGCCTCGCCCTGCCAGGAGCCCTCAGAGCAGTGATGAGCTGCTCACACCAGTTCCTGCGAGCTGCCCACACCAGTTCCTGCAACACCCAGAGGGTCTCCCCAGGCCGGCAGAGCAAGTTGGAGCACATCCTCTTCCCTGACACCGCAAAGCCCGCAGTCAGCAGAGAGCTTTCGCAACTCCTACCAGAAATACTCACGCAGCCGTTACTGGGGATGTGCAGTTCTGCTGCCAGCCTGCCCTCACGCCAGCAAACAAACCCAAATTTGATGCCGGTTTCCAGCATGATAAGCAAACACTGTGACAGCCTCAAGAGGCAGCTGAAAGCCACAGAACACCCCAAGATACAGATGGGAACACGTAGCCACATTAGCAAGTGCAGACAGGGAAGAGAAATCAAACGGCTTACCTTTTTCTTCATGGCTGTGCTCGGCATCACCTCCCTGCAGAGACAACAGCACTGTTACACCGCTCCGGGCCCCGCTCGCAGGCTGCACGTCAGCCTCAAGCTCCTATCGGCCCTCAGTTCCGTGCAAACGGGAATCTCCCGCCCCGCCGCAGCCCATCCAGCAGCCCAGGGTGCTGACAGCCGCTCTCCGTGCTGCGCGACTGGAGGAGAAGCAGCCCCTCTGCAGGCGGCCCCGTCACACGCCCGCGACGAGCAGCATCCCCGTGACCGCGGGCCCAAGTAGGGGAACCACAAGCGCCCGCCTCACCGCCCCGCTCCCGCGCAGCCCGGCCGCGGTCACCAGGAGCACCGGGCCTCGGCGTCTCCCGGCCCCGCGGGCTCCGCGTGGCTCCGCGCAGCCCGGGTCCCGCAGCGCCCCGCTACCTCTATCCGCGCCGGGCACCTCCCAGGCCGGTTTGGCGATGCCCGCGGGCGGCGGGAGCCGCGGGGGCGCGTCACCGGGCCGCCCGCAGCGCTGAGCGGGTCCGAGCGCCCCGCGCTCCGGAGCAGGCCTCAAAGCCACGGCCTCGCGTGAGCCCGCTGCGCCGCTGGGGTCCCGCCCGCTTCGGCAGCGGCCGCCCCGCGGCGCTCACGAGATTCGGCGCTCAGCGGCCTCCGCCGGTCACGTGAGCGCTCTCCCACCACGCCTTCAAAATCACGTGACGGGCCCCCGCCACCGGCGGCAAGGGCGGGGCGAAGGGAAGGAAGGGGTGGAACTGTTACGCTGTGGTCGCCATGTTGGATGAGGGCAGCTACCCTGGTGCCGCGGGCTGCGTGGAGGAGGGGCGGCGGAGCGGCCGGCCACAGTCTGCAGGCGGCCGACTCGATAGCGACCGCGCAGTGTTTACAGAGCGGCCCGACGGGGTTTCTGCACATCCAGCACAACTCTCTGTAGAGGACCCAAAGAATGTCGGATACCGAACGTTTTCAGGCGGGCTGAGAAACGTCTCATCAGCGCCTCCCATATGGTCTAGCGGTTAGGATTCCTGGTTTTCACCCAGGCGGCCCGGGTTCGACTCCCGGTATGGGAAGGAATTTTTTTTTTCTCCCATCCTTTTGGAGGTGTTCACACAGCAACAAACCTGGCGACTGGAGCCGCCCAGAACTGCCAGAGGTCCACAGCCATGGCGAGCCGCGGCCCCTGCCAGCTTAAAGCGCCAAGGTGTGACGACAGAACTCCCGGAGGGGCAGCGCGCGCCAGCTCACGTTAAGCAGCACGGCGCGGCCGCCGTTTGCGCCCCACAGTGAGATTCCACCGCGCGGATTGTGCGCAAAGAAAGGCGGCGGTGCGCTGCGCCCTCACGGCGGCGAAGCCAGAGATAAAGCTATTGAGTATTGATAAAGCGAAACGAGTCTGTAGGACGAGTGTAAGCAGCATCCCCTCGTACGTTAACAGCCCTTCGGAAAGCGAAGGGAAATTCCGCAGGGAAGCCCAGCCTGCCTGGCTGTGTCTGCCAACGATGCTCACAATCGGACAGCACCCTCAACACAACGCCCAGCAACTGCCGCCCGGCACGCGGCAGCACGCACGTGCACAGTCGGGCGCGGGCCACATAGCGCATGCGCACTCTTAGCGACAGGAGACGGCGAGAGGCTTCGCGCACACGCATCCGCCCGTGAGAGGTACGGCGCGCGTGCCACCGGACCGCCGTGAAACAGCGCAGATGCGCTCAGCAGATCCTCGCTCGAGGCAGGCGCACGGATTACCGGACGGCACGAAATAACGCCTGCGCTTTCCTCTCGGGTCGCGCGTCATCGCGCACGCCCACAAGCGCCAACTGCTTCGGGGGCCGTGTGCGCGCGCAGCGCCGCGGCGAGAGACGGTACGGCTGCACACTGCCCTCTGCCGCCGGTACGAGACCGCGCACGTACACGCTATGTGCAATGCAGCGCGCATGCCCGCCGCTCTTTTCTGTCACGGGGAAGAGCGCACGCTTCCTGTTCCCACGCGGGGCAGCACGCACCGCCCAGCGGCCGCAAACTTGGCGCATGCGCGCGAACTCCCCCAACGCGATTCAGTGCGCATGCACTTCGTGCGCAGCGCGAGAGCGTGCGCCTGCGCACACCGTTCTCTCCCGGCCAGCAGCCCCGCGCCTGCGCACTCCTCCCATTTTCCACCGCCAGGCTGTGCGCGTGCGCAGCGCTGCGTCCTCCCGTTTGTTCCGCTCTCAGGCACTTCGTTTCACCAGGGAAAAAAGAAAAAAAAAAAACAAACAGGGAAAAACCAAAGCTGAGCAGCACTCCGGCACCATCCCAGCTAACAGCAGAGGAAAACGAATGAAGGGAAGGCGGTTCCCTCCTCATCTCAGGGGAGGATCGAACAGCCTGCATGTTCGAGTACAGAAAAGCGGCAGTCGTGGGCTCGTTATTCAGTGGTGCATTTCGGAGGCTTAATTAATGGATTCATTCAGACGTTTCGCGGTGTTTCTGAAAGGATCCTCAAAAAGCTGAGTGCAGGGCTGGCTCATTTTTCATATTCCATTCTGCATTCCTCAGAACAGATGTAAATGAACTGCCATGTAACCTCTGTACTGTGAGAACTGCAAACCTGAAGGAGTGCACAAACCATTTCCACCTCACACGAGTTGACCAACACTAAAAAAATCCCCGGTGACAAAACACATGAGCACCCGCTCCTTTTGATTGTTTTTAAGAACAATTCACGTGTTTTGACTGCTTTCTCCCCCCACTTTAGCACAGCAGTGGCATGGCGATGAAATCAGCAGAAGCACTGCAATAGCATCGTTTCTGTGTTATTTGCAAACTGATGGCTGGAGGCAAGTAATGGTTATGTCGGGAGTCTGGCTCCCAAGCAGACAAAAACAACGTCTTACAAAGATTGAGCAGCTCGTACCTGCGAGTGATGCATTAAGCTCCTTATTTATTGCTCTCGAAGGAACTTTGTTCACTGCATTACAGTTTGTACTCCTTTGGTCAATGAAAACTGCCACGCACCTCCCGGGTTTGTTTTTCTGTCCATTATTCAACCAAGCAATTTCCTTCTTTTTCAGTCAATAAATTGCTACAGTATTAAATTGGTATTGCTGTGGAAATTAGTCATAGAGCACAGGCGATACTATATGGAGCCTGGTTAAAATATTCTCCTGAGCAGAGCACAACAGCTGTATTCAATGAAATAAGTGACACCTCAGTTCTTTTCAGTCTCTTTGGGCCAAATTCTATCATGAGTGTAAATCTAGACAGAGTTTGCTGATCTCACTGCAGTCCCGATGTATTTTTCTCTAACAAAGCAGAGAGCAGAACTTGCCTGGTAGCCTCTGACAGGGAATTAGCATTTCCATCAGCTCCTAACAGTTAGCTCTGAGATGATGGGACACATCCAACCCTTGCTAGTTGGCTAGCAAAATGCATCAAGAAAATAACAAACTGTTCATGTCATTTCTAGAAACTGCACTTCTTACAAGCTGGACAGCACTGACCTGACGGCCATAATTCAGTTCTTGTAAGACCCCAGAGCTGAAAGCTGGCTGATAATGAAAGGTGTGCAGTGGGACACCCAGTGGCACCAAATGAACACCTCTGTCTCCTTCCAGCACCTTTCAAGAAGATGCTGGGGCTATTCCAAGGCACTGCAACGGAGGAACATAGAGTTAAGGTTTAACCCAGTGAGAAGAGAGACTTCTGTGTCTCACTGCTTTACGTATCAGTGACCATGCTGTAGCTCACTCCCCCCACCTTGCACGAGGATCTCTAATCTGGAAGTTCTTGTGCAGTCCTAAAGTGAAAATTCATTTAATGTGTACAGTGATCTATTCATAGTCTGTTGGCTTCATTCCCCAGGGAAGCAAAAGTTCAAATTGCTTCATGGGGGGATTAAAATTATCACTGAGTGAGACACAAATGAGGAACTGAGGAATGTAATACAACTCTAAATTAAAGCATCCAAAGAAATGCTTAAAGCCAGGCAGGATGCAAGTTCCCAGGTCGGTACTCTGAGCATAACGAAATACATGCTTGCTCCTGCTGAACTGTGGTGCCCTGTATATCTGATGTCTTACTCTCACACTGCTGCTATCTCATAGGGCCACATTAAGTAACTTAGTTAGAAAGACCTGGGTTTGCAGCACGTTTATTTTGTCCCTCTTTGCATGTTTTCACTCTGTTTGTCCACAATGACCAGCTATTAGTGTTAAAATTGTGCATGACTCTGTCAGAGAGGAAAGAAAAAGAAGAGTCTGGGATGCATCCCTGCATTTTTCCCAAAAGGATATGTCCCCATCTGTTCTTAACCTTTTCAAGCAGCCCTAAAATACATTTAGACAAAAGCAAGTGAAATGGAAGGCTGTAAATAGCTTCACACATACAAAATGATAAACTAGAGAAGTAATGGTGATTTGACAAAAGACAGTGAGGATGTATCACCCTCTGTCAGAATAAAAAATAATAAGAAGAGGAGTAGGATGTAGTACAAATATAACAGTTCCATCACAGTGTTCTTTCTGTTCCCTCCTCCTAATGTGGGGACAGAGACTCCTTGAGGGAATCAGCTGGGCTCTCACAGCCAGCCCAAGGTCTCCAGAAGAGCCACCAGCCTTTGGGATACCTTAGAGGACGGGGCGATGCTTTAACAACGGGGCGCACCTGCACTGTGCTCAGGGCTGTTCCTGCATCTTCACTGCCTTTGCTGCTAAACACTGAAATGGGAGTCCGTTCCAGCTGAGCCTGATCCACATAAAACCTACAGGGAAAAAAAACCAACAGCAGCATCCTGGCTCCTCTTCCTCGTTAACAGTGGTTAATTTGCATTTTGTAGTCACTCATCATCTCAAAGCATAGGCACACAGTTGAAAGTGAATATATTACTGCAAATTGCCACCTGCCTGCTACCTTGTGTAACTCAGTGCATATTCACTCTCAGCAAATTTCATGTGTAAAATGGATTTTATCTCACTGCTGGGGTGCAAGCAGTGTTACTGCAGCTCAGCTATCAGACAATGATTTGATAAACCACTTTATTTTGACCACATACAAACATACTGGCTTAGTTTGCCTTTGTATTTATAGCCTGCCTCGCTTCTCAGATATGGTCTGAGACAGCCTGGTGTGGTTCACCTGCCAATCCATTTCAACTCACGCTGTCAACAAAAACAGGCTCAAGCCTGGCCTGCTTCCAGCTCAGTCTTTCAGCAGTGAGTTGAGCCCTGTCCCACAGGAGGCAGTTGCCCATGATGAGCATGGTGAGCACAGCCTTCAGACAAAACGCCTGAGCTGAGGCTGTTTCATGGCACGCTGTCTTGGCTCCAGGACAGAAGAGCTAGATTGATCTGCATGATTGTAACCTTCCTCTTAAGTGAAGATGTTCCTCTGATGTGAGTCATTGGGCCGTTGTTCAGTCAGCCGTGCTGTATGATCCAGGATTTACTCAGAGCAAAGTAGCTTCAGGACAGGAAACCACGACAGACCAAGGCTGATCCTGACAACAGGATGCTCATTGGTAAGCAGAGCCCTGCATCCGCTATTGGAGCAATTTGTCTGCAGTTCTGCTGAGCAGGGCACTGGGTGAGCTGCAGATGGCTGACATTACCAAAGGACTTATGCCCATGGAAACAATCCTTGCAGCCCCTCTGGCACCCAGCCTTTGGTCATTCACGCATTCAGACAGACCAGCTATAACAATGCACTTTAATTCTTGCAGTCAGCAATATGTGTGATGACATACAGCTTAAAGCAGTGATACTGAATTATTTAGGTCTTTGGAAATAAGCTTAATGCAAAAGGAGCTTTTCAGAATATGACAATAGACAGTGGCTTCTGAAAGCTCTGCAAAACATGAGCACTGCCCAGAATGAAGGAGAACCCCCAGGGCTGAATCAGCACAACTGACCCTGGAAACTGAAGTGGCTGGAAGAAGCAGGGAACACAGACACCAGTGTCCCACCTTGCAATCCAAGAGGCAGATATCACAAATAGGGTATGCAGGATCTGACCTTAAAAATGTTACACAGTCACTTCTGTCCAGCTACAGCAGCAATGCCCAAGTGGGGACCTTGCACAAAAGCAAACATTTTGGCCATCCGTACTTCTAGGCTAAGGGTGCTTTATTGATGCCAGTCACTCCTGATCCCAGCTGTGATCATCAAAGGCTGAAACAGACTGAAATCCTCTGTTGGCATAAGCTGGCAATCATGCACTCTGTTGAACATATTTCTGAGAAATGGTAATTCTGCCGTCTCCTAATTTCTGAATTCCTGACCAGGAAGTATTGGCATTTCTTTTAAATTCCTCGCACAGATCTCACCACTGACCTAGAAACAATTTTCATCTGATAGGTGTTTTGCTGGATGGCAATTAACTGAATTCGCTCCGAAGTTTATTTACTTTAGGAAATAAAATCTGCTCTGTATCTGGTTTCGTTACCAAAAACAGAAGAAAACCAGTGCTTTGGGAATTTGTCTCCCTTCCAACACTCTCCCTATTCATTTAATGGCAATCAAAATAATGCTAATCCTGGCAACATTTGCTGCAGTGATAAAAATGTTGTTCAGGCAAATCCAAACCCTCTGTTCATCAGCTCCATACAATCCTACCAACACTGCTAATGAAGATTAAACTCTTTCGCTGCAGAAACTTCAGAGACGCAGCACCTTGTGTAACACAGCTGCTTTCTCCATGTTGATTTCCTTCCCAGTAACACTGCTTCAGATGTCACCGCTAATTGCTGATAGTTTTTATTCCCTTAAGGAATGTTGCTTCAGATCCATACCATTTGATCTGTTCTTGATGCTAACTATTAGAGCTCATGAATAATGTTACCAATGTTTAGCTTCAATTTTTGCTGCCTCAGCTTCAGGTCATCACTCTCTGTCCTATCCCATATGCAATGGATTTATGCTGTCCCCCTGGAAAGGAATTAACAAAGTAAGGAAAATGCAGTAGGTGACCTTGCAGACAAAGCCCCAGTTATGTCTCATCAGAGAAGTTTCTCTCCTAAATTATAAAAATGTAGTTGTCTCCCTCTTTCTGTTGCCAAAGTCTTCATTACAGTGCCCTCAAAGTCAGACCCTGCCCAACGAGTAGCACCATTTATTACTGATCATCAGTGATTAAGTCACTTTTAACAGTACAAGACTGCTCATTTTCTCCTGAGTTTCACATTCTTTAACCTAAGCAGTCACATCCTTGGGCTTCAAAAGAAAGTTTGGGCTGCTTATACTGTGAAGAGGACTGAAGTTAAGACTCAAGCCCATTCCTCCGTATAGCAGCTTGCCAGCAGTGTGCTCAGAGCAGCAGGAAAGAAAAGATGATGTCTTTTACAAGAGAGATGTCCCAGTCAAGAAAAAACCCACCTGGGCCTAATGCTGCAGTTCTTTGTATGAAGTGCTCAGAGCTCAAGGAGTGATTCACTCCACAGATAACCAAAAACACATAGAGCAACTAAGCAAAATAGAGACACTGCACATGGATTTACTGCTCTTACAGTTTGTATTGTGGAGATGAGTACTTCAGAGCTGTTGTCTTCCAGGAAACAAGAGAAGCATGAAAGACTGAGCTAATCAAATTAGCAATGACAATAATTGCAAACAATCTCACTGAATATATAAGGCTTCTGAAAAGAGTTATAATTTAAGTGGCCTCTTTGCTGTTCCCCAGAAAATCAGCTGATTTTAGAGGAAAGACAGCATGAATAAGAGGGCCTTAAAGAAGCCCTAATCCTGAGAAAATAAATTCAGCTGCGACTCAAGCAGATAAACTGGCTGAAAATAAATTGATAGAAAGAATAAAAAAATAAATAAATAGAAAGAAGTTACAGACCCTTTGCTTCTACCAGGTGATACGGGAACTTCATATGTATTTTTTCCCTAGGAAAAAATAAGCCACCTCTGAAAGCACTTGAACCTATCAAGCAGCAAAACATTATTTGAAATGTCAACATGTTGAGTTCTGCCTTATCAGGGTATCAAGAAGCTTAAAAACTCCTGATTATTTTAGGATGAGATACCATCTAAATAATTACCCAGGTTTGTATTTGCAATAGTGGCAGCTAAGTCCCACCGAAGATTCAGAATACTGATGCTCCACTCACGCTTAATTTTGGCAGTACTTCACAACCGGTCACCTCTGGCTCTTGTGCTGATGAAGACTTGTGGTGTGTGGCCCTGTATCAAGCACAGAATGGGACTGCTACACTGCCCACCTCGTGTTGGCTAACAAGACTACAAGAACACAAAAAGTGCTTTCTGACACCTATTTGGGTCTCTTTGTGGTTCAGTGCTCTGAATCTCTAACTGGTGGAAAGTAATTCCTCCCAGACTTGGAGAGGAAATTCCTATTTATGATAGCTGTGTTGAAGTTGTTTGAATCCTGGTGATTTAGGAGATGAGAGCCCTGTGCCTTCATGGACTGAAAGCTGAACAAGAGCTGGAAAGCTGAATGGGTTTCAGAGGCAGACTTGCAGAGAGCAGGACGGCTCTCAGACAGATTTGTTGTCAGCTCCCCTGAAGCCAGTGAAGCAATGACAGCTGACACTGACAGTTCACCTCAGGAGGAACACCTACAGTTATATGAACAGGAAAGAAGACATGCAAGAACGTGATCTGTGTTGACACCCACCGCTGGGAGCTTTCCCTTCAGACAAGAAGCTCCATAACTTCTTTACAAAGGTCTTTACAGAGCTGCTGGCTGCTCGCAGAGATGGGAGAAAAGGATGAAATGAGGCTCTTGCTACAGGTGCCCTTGCTACTGTCTTCCTGCAGCCAGGGCTATCAGATGAAACCTTCTGTTCGTAGTCCCACTGTTGGTATATATGTGCAAAAGTGTCCAGCAAATTTATCTTTTTGCCAACCAAAAGGCCACGTTTGCCAGAACTCCCTCTCTTTAAATTCTGTGAATGGAACAGGGAAATATGAAATTAATTTTAAAACTGCTAAGTCAAAAGAAAAAAATAAATTCCAGCAAAACCAAGATTTACCCTTTTAAATACTGTAAATGCATGCAAGCTCTCTGTTCTTACACTAGGCTTGATTTTCAATTACCTAATATAAGGTCTCTTCTCAAGTAAGTACAACATCCTTTAGAAGCATGTTTCTGGAGTATTTGGTTAATGATACAAAATTAAGACAAATATCTGTCACGGTTCATGCGACAACCACACCTGACAGGGGTTGCTATGAGAGTTGGTGTCGTTATTAAGAATAATAAACAAATACTGGTAAGTATCAAAAGAAACTGATGGATTTTCGTAAGATACTCTTTTAGGGAGCACAAGCCATTTCTGTATATGCCTTCAACACACGTACCATTCCATCTGTAGGTACTCTTGTCCAATCTACCTGAGGATTGATAACATTTTTATTATTATTACATGCCCATAACTATATTGACTAAAACATAGATCCATTTTTCTTACACAGATTTGAGCTTACACTTACAGCCCCTCCTTCCTAGCTTAAATAAAACATAACCACCTCATCTTCTTTGATGCGATTTCCCAAACATAACTGACACAGAGACAGGCTTTCATGTTAAAAGGAAACAAAAACCACAGTACAGTAAGGAACATATTTGGTCACGATGACTCCCAAACTACTGATGCATGTAACTGCAGCGCAGCTGATCCAGAAGCTTTTTCAGCCCAAAGTTGTCTACAAAGTAGAATCTGTTTTATTCAAAGGACCGTGCCAAGATACATACTAATTACAGAAATGCCCTTCTTCTGCAAAACCACTCTTCTATTTAGTCCAGTGACAAACTGCCAAATGTATGTAGTTTAAGTAGGTAATAAGAGCAGTCAGGTCTAAGGTCAGCCCAGGAGATACCAGCAGTGACTCAGTGCTGTGTGCCCTGGGCTGAGCTGGCAGGGCCCTTGGCTTACGGGCTGTGGGTCCTCTGTGAAGGTTTGTCAGCACCCACCGTGGTGCAGGTTACTGTGAACTCACCTGAGAGATCACTTATAAACTCAGCAGCCTCGTCTAATCTTTTGCCTTTGGCCACATGTAGTGACTGTTCCCGTTTCCTGTAGTCCCTCCTTGCCTCGATGCTGCACCTAACAACAGGCTCCATGCAGCGCTGCTCAGCGTCACTCCCTGCCCTTCCACGGCAGCTCTGGAACCACTGTCAGCCAGCTGCTATTTCTCAGTTCCCAGGGAAAACACAAATAAGCGCTGAAACACAATCATAGAAATAGGTCTGCAAAAAACAATAGGCATAGGGAACAAACTGAAATTTGGCTCTAGACAGACATGTACTAAAACAAGGCCTGGTGAGATGAAAGGAGGAAACAATGAGTGAAAAGGAGTCTCCAGGGCCTTGTCCTCTTTATTTACGCCATACCAACACGCACCAGACAACAAAGAGACATGTACAAAAAAGCCAAGTCTCTGTTTTCATGTGATTATATGCGTCAAGGAAAGGGATGAGTTATATACAAGAAGTTCCGTCTGAGATACCTTGCAATACCTATGCTGCAAGGTATTAATTTAAGGGAAAAAATTGTGTCATCCAAAATACCAACAATTTCTATTTATTAAAACAAAAACTGCTTAGCACTGCAGTGAGAATGAGGGGTTTGTTCCAAGTCTATTTTCTACTCAACAGTCTAACTAGTTTCCTGCTGTGCTGTGTCCCTAATAGGTTCATGGACTAAAAACAAAGTTTCTTCTGCTAAATGAGGCTTCAGACTTATGCAGGGAGAGACTACATATTGCAACAAAGGGAAAGTTGAAAAATAAAAGAAAGGGAAAAGAAATAAAGAAGTTTCTTAAGCTCTTTGCTGCCCTCTGGTCTCCCTGGAGGATTCAGAGCCAGAAGTGAAAACAGAGAAACAGACTGACTTGTTGGAGGCAGAAATGGAATTTTCTGTGTATTTTAATGACTGACACGGACACAGCAGAGGCATTGCTATGAGGGGCCTGTAAGGGGCCAATGGCATTGCAAGTGTTGCACCAAGTGCTATTAACTCTTTCCTCCTGTTACCAGTATCATCAGATCAGCAAATGGCTTGGGTTGGAAGGGACCTCAAACACCACCAGCCCCAACCCATGGGCTGGCTGCCTCCAGCAGCTCAGGCTGCCAGGGCTCCATCCCACCTGGCCTTGAGCAGCTCCAGGGATGGGGCAGCCACAGCTCTCTGGCAGCAGGGCCTCACTGCTCTCTGAGTAAAGAATGTTTTCCTAACATCTAACCTGAATTCCCCCTCTTTTAGTTTAAAACCATTTCCCCTTCTCCTATCACAGCCTGTAGGCTGAAGCTCATAATCTTTGTGAAGAAATGCTGGATGTTAAATTTGGCTTTCCTCACACAAAGACTGCTGTAGGAAAGTAAAGGGGGAAAATGCCCTTTATTTCTTTTTGCTCCGACCACAGTTTGGTGCTTAGGTAGCGTCAGTTGAGGGCTTCAAAACACAGCTGCAGCAAATTATCTGGCTCAGAAATATTGTAGAAATAGTTGAATAGCTTTGCAGCATCAACTTTTTTTTTTATTGATAGGTATTACGTGATTAGCAGTGCCTGTTTATGGGTCTGGGGTTTGGCACTGCCAACAGGGAAACTCAAGCACATTTCAAGATCAAAGTACAATACAGAAATACAGTGTACTGGAGCATTACAAATTTCTTATATTATTATTTCAGATATATTTGAGGAAGATATTTGCTCCATCTGAAGTTCCTGAAAGGCTTTGCATTGCTTTCAGTGATCCCAAATTGCAGCCCAGAAAGAGCTGACCTAAATCTAAAATAAGGTATAGAGAAGGAAACAGATTTAGATTTGAATCTCAACTCCATCACTGAATTTCTTCATTAGTTCTGGTAAATCATTTTGACTTTTATTACTTCTATGTCTGATTCTCAATTTCCAAGATAAGAATCAGTTCTTTTTCACACAGCACTGCAAGGATGCTTTAAAAAAAAAAAATCACGTAAAATACAATGACATCCCTCCATCTGAGGGAAGATGGATAGATAATTGAATATATTTTCTTAGAAGAAAACAGCCTTAAAAAGCCAGAAAAATCTCTTTATGTCCATAAGGAAAACATAATTTCTTTCAGCTGAAAACCTGACCAGACATTAGAACAGGCCACAAAGCGTGCTTAAAGCTGCCAAGAAAGCCCTGGGCAGAAAAGAGTTTCAGATTCCAGTGTTAATTTTCAAGGATTTTGCTTTTAAAAGCGGCGTCCATAGGAATGTTTAGTTTGCAGCTTTTATCCGGTCCTGAAAGGCAGTCGGGGCATCAGATGTCCTGCAAACTAACTGGCCCTTATTTCACTTGCATCATGGATGGCACAAAGGCTGGAAGACTAATTTCAAGATTATCTGCAGCATTGCTTTCAGTGTGAACCCGGTGGCAAGGAATGCAAGAGGTTCTGTGGAGCTGGTATTTCGCCCGGGCAGCAGAACAGGCTTCACATTCACAGCATGGGGAGGAACCACAGCTCCCTTCTGCCCACTAAAAAATTTGATGCGAGATTAAACACTGATGTCCAAGAAATATTTAACTTGGCTTCTGACAGAAGATGAGGTGACTTAGAAGAGCTGGATTTATCTTGGGAAATGTCTCCAGAAGCTCGATGTCAGGGTGGCTGTCAGAATTCTGAGCAGAAGCCATTAAACATTAGGCTCCTAATCTTTATCCGGATTTTAATATACCAAGACTTGGACTACAGGCTACGCTGGTGCTGCAGAAGAATAGCACTAAAGCAGCAGGTTATCTTGTCACATCCTGTATGTCCCCAAGGAGAGCACAGTGAAGTCACCTGTGGCATGTTCCCACGTACAGCAGCCAGCAGGGGCTCCTGTGCAGCCCCACCTCCAATCTTTCTATCTCCAGCTGCATGCAGGCAGAACTCTTTAGCAAAGGCAATGAAAGGATTTCTTCAGCTCTGCTTCCCCTGCACATCCTACCAGTCTCTGAGAGCACTGTCACCCTGGACACATAAAGCAGCATTTCCTCTCAAAACTGAGCATGTTTTAGCACTGCAGATGCAGACACCACACCTGACAGTGTTACCAGTGTTTTGCTCAAAAACCAAACTGCATTCAGGCCACATATGCAAATTCTTCTCCATTTTGGAAGAGAGTTGGGCTGAGAGGGAAGAGTAAGTAAATAAATATTTTCTTTTCCTTCGTTTTCTTAAGTCCAGAGAGAGAAATAAACTAGTTAGGGCTGAGTTTTCCACTAGAGTAGGCTTGTTAAAAATTTGCTAGCAAACTTATCATTCAAATGAATAAACCTCATGTATATGAACATGCTGACAGATGTTTCTCCTTGCACAGGTCTGTCACAGCCGCTTACAGACAGAAGCATTTCCTTCCAAATCTCTTTTATTGTGTTGACCACAGAGGGCTCCTGTCAGACACAGCTCTGCTAACACACCCCACCCAAATTAACAACAGCAGCTATTCTGTAATCTCTGTCCACATACTCAGTGGGTTGTGTGCTTCCATCCACACCCTCTCCTGTGTTTGAACGCTCACCTTGAGCCATCCAAGAGCTCAAAAGGTTCATTTTAGCCCCTTTTTACACTATGCAATTTATTCTAGGACCAAAAGTCATGCACAGAGAAAAGCAAACCATTGAGCAGCGTTCAGGAAGTGAAGCTAGAATGGCATTTCCCAGATGAGATCTCCAACTCGCAGTGAAAACCTAGGGCTCCAGCACACTCCTGAGCTGCTCTGTGCCCGTTCACAGGATCAGGCTCAGTAGAGGTACGGACGGCCAATCCCTGCTCATGAGAACAGGCTCTCCCGGATTTAGCCTCCCAGGCGGCCCCAGTTCAGGAGGTCATTGCTTCCATTCTGCAGTGGAATCAGTTCTCCCTGCACATGCCTTTGCAGCTGAAGCTCCTTGGCATGCCGATGGGGAGGCTGGTGCCTGGCACAGCTGGCCCTGCAGTATTACATCTAACCTGTCAGAGCTCATTTTCAGTCTCGTTATTCAGGGGCTGGCGCACCGCCAAATCATCTCCAATGGTTCAGCAGCACAGGATCCCCTGGGGTGTATTTTGTTTTCAGATATCTCTCTCCAGCCTCACACAACAAAGCTCTGACATAAAACCTGTGCAGAGAGCATATTTCTGCGCTTACTAACACAAACTAGTGGCATGTGTGCCTGGCTCTGAAAGTCCACATTGGCATTGGTCTGCCTGTTATCATAAGCATCTCTGCTTAGGCTGACAGTCTCGTGTTAGTGATGCTGAGCAGACTGAAATACAGCCTTCCTATATAGGAAAAGTCCTTTTTGTAAATACAGGCTTCTATTTTCACTCTTCCTATGTTCAGCTGTAAGTAAATACACAGTAGGTCACACCAGCTTGAGTTGTTTTGAAACGCGTTTTCCCTCTCCTTTTCACTCCCTAGACCTGAATCTTTCTTTTTGCAGCATTTTCTCTTGCAGCCCATATGAATCAGAGAAGTATGTAAAGAAGAATTCTACATCTGCTACCTGTTCTTCCTGCCTCACTCTGCTCATCTGCTCTGCAGGAACAGTCAGACTTGCCAAGTTGCATGCATCAGCATCACAAAGCAAAAATGTTGCCAGCTCGAGGTGCCTTAAAAAGGAAAAAGACTGATTCAGGGAAAGACTGGAGGCACACTGCATCCCCATAAAACAGTGCAGAGAAGATAAGGCAAGTGCGTACGTGGAATATCACTTGAAGTTGGAATGTAGAGTTACAAGAAATAATATACCTAACATCTTCCAATCTTCCAAAAAGAACTAAGGAACATAAAATCACAAAAAAATGTAAGATCCATACAGTATTTTCTTGCCTTACAAGAAGCTTACGGAAGATTCCTATGAATGACATGTTAGCTTTCTACCCTTGAAAAGTAACACCCTCTTTTTTTGCAATGCAGTAGGAAGAACTATTCTCCATGAATATCTAAGAAGTAACAAGCCTGACAACGCTAAACCAAAGGAGCAGTTACATACTCGTGATGTAACAGGTTTCAATCTGTACTGAACAGAAATGTAAAATATTCAGTGAAGAACTTAGAAGGATATTTATTAAGATGAGAGGACTATCAGAACCTCCATCATGTCTCAGTTCTTAATGGTCATTGTGTGGTGCCAGTTTGAGAAGAGATGAATTTGAACACTGACTCTGGGACTAGATATACTAACACTCCTAGATTCCTAAGAGTTGAAAAATTTGACCTGAATTTTCTGCAGAGTGCCTCAGGTGGGCTCTTAGTCAGGAAAAAAAACAAGACAAGAGAGACCAAAAGAATGACCAGCAGGCTAATGCTCCTAATTACAGCCCTGTAACAGATTATATCTGTAGCCTTAGGCAAGCTGCTTCAGCGCTCTGCAGGGCCTGACAGCTAAGGACGAAACAGCAACGAGCAGCAGTACAGACAGGCTCTTTGATGTGCATTCTAGCTTGCTATTTCATGTGGATCAAACAGTTACCAAGCTGATGGATTGGTTGAGTTCAAGGTACTACAGAAAATCTCAATACCCTCTCTTAAATCCCCGACAGTCAGCTGTCCTCTTGCTCCATATCTTCAAGCACTGTGCTCAAGAGGAGAATTTCTTCTGCAGTTGCTATTTTTCTACTCATACACTAAACAAGCAAAAGCATGCTAAACAAACAGAGGTAAAACAAACCAACACAACTAATCGATCTCACACAAGAGTGAACAAACAGCATCACCGAGCCCAGCAAAACTGCTCAAACTTTCTCAGACAGGATCAAACCCAAGGCTTTTTGAATCAAACTGTTCATTTAACCAGTTATTGATCCAGTTTCTTTAAACTAATTACTTGAACTATTCATCTGGGCAAAAAGAAACAAAAATCAAGTCTTTTTCTGGCCTCTGCACATGGCTGATTTTCTGACAGTGCCAATCAGTCCCTCTGTAGCACTATAAATTGGTTACACAATTTGTGTCTTAAATATCTTTAAAAGCAGACAATTGGCAATGAGATGTGTACACAGATTAACCTGGTCATATTTCGTAGCATGTGGGATTTGACATTGAGAGGTATCTAAATAATTTTGACACATTTTCTTAAACTACGGGTTGTTTTGTTTTGCTGGCAAAGAGGCACTGAGGCATTAGTGGGGCAGACAGATACTCTTGAGAAGACATCTATTCCCAAAGAAGTAGCACCACCAGTCATTTGATCAGTATCTGCTCAAGTACTCCACGCCACGATGCTGAAGGTCTCTGGGTTCAGTCCTGAGGATGATGCAGCAGAGACCACAGAGTAAGTTTCAGAGATAGGAAAGGTTCCTGAGCTCTTCAGAAGGTACAGATCCCTCTGAAGGCTCTCAGTACTTGATTTACTGTTTGTACAGACAGTGCTGACGCATATGGAGTATGCAGAATGGTCATCCAACAGTAAGAAATGCACTGCATGTACTCACCTGCTTCAATGATATGCATTTGTCCTGAAAGCAGTAACTTTCCTCTCCCAGAAAACAGTTTGTACTGAGATTGCTGTGAACAGGATTAATGTGGTGATTTGAAGAACTGGGAGCAAGGAAAACCTTGCAGCTAAAAGACATTCTTAGGTGTTCAGACAGACAGCCTCACCTACAAGGCTGTTATTTATACAGGCAGATGCACACATCTATGCACACATCTGCAGCCTGCTAGGGAGTACGTCATTGCTGGAGCTGGTGAGGCTTGCCAGTGCTGGTTTTTCAGTGACAGCCTCAGCTGAACATACTGTTCAGATATGTATCCAGCTGTTCATATAGATCAGTAATCACAACAGCAACAACTTTCAGAGCAGAGACTTCAGGCAACACTTGAGACTGCAAACCATCTCAGTGATAATCAGCTTGAAAGATTCAGGCTGGTATGTCCTGATTCCTTCATCTCTTCCCCTTATACTTAAGCTTAACTTCATCCTCCTGCTACATGACTCAGGTAACAAATGACTACCATAGATGTGCCCCTAGGTGTCCAACACAGCAGTTCACATGTACAAAACATACCGATGCATCACACATCAGAACTCAGCTGGCTCTGCAGTGATGGCGTTTCATTTACAGCACAACAGTATTTTGGATTTTTATGTATTTATTTTTTGTCAACTACAGCTCTGAGCCCTATCTGAACATAACATCTTTAGATATTTAATATTTTGATATAACCATGTCTACCTGTGACTGCTCTGTCTGTCTACAGTGACAGGAAAGGTCTTGAATCTGCCTGTTGCCAAAAATATCAGCTATTGGAGCTTGGCACAGTGCAGAGCCTCCCCTAGGACCTTGCATTCAGGTGTCTTAAGCAATGGGTTAGTCCCAGAGAGACCTGCTGTAAACAGCTACCTTCGCCAGTTCTGCACCATTTCAGCTACCCCAGATAATTCAGCTTCAAGACAGGACAAATTCAGCTTCAAGACAGGACAGTGCTTATCTGAGAGTCACAGACAGTGAATGCAGACCTGTCGATTTCAGTCCAAAAATTATTATTTTCTGGAAAGCGTGTAGTGACACCTTCAAGCAGTCAATTAACCTTAGCAGTGCTCTGGGATATTCTTGAGGCTTTTTCTGAATGCTCAATGATAACCATAATGGATTATGCTATGCACATACTTCTATATTCCTTCTCTGTCTACTGAAAGGCATGGAGATGCCAAAAAGACCAAGTTCAACAAGTGCATGTGCTGTGCACTGAAACGCAGGTCTGGGAGGAAGGGGAAAATCTTCTGCATTTGCTGTCCCTCTTAGGGCCTTACCAAGAGCCTGAACAATTGAACAGGAAATGACTGACTTCATTTCCTATGCCATTGCATACCACAAGCTTACTCCTACCACTGTAGTCTCAATACGCTGATCACTGCTTTCAAGCATCAGCACCTTATCAGGGAGATGCAGGATCTCAAACATCACCACTTTCACCTTATATCCAACTAGCAATATTTTACTGACCTACGATCCCTTCCTGTAACCCCTAGCTATGTAACAGCAACAAGAGCTAGACTCTTGCATTTAACAACAGTGTATCTAAACACATAGCTTACTGCAGTAAACAAGTGTGCATGACAAGCTCAGATTGTATTCTGAATATTCAAGTAAATTTAAAACATGATGCTAGCATACATAAATACTTGTATATCCACAGAATTCTGAGCATCTCACAGATTTATTATCACTGTTAGAATTTTTTCAGCTGAAAGGGTAACACTTAAAATACACAGATAAAAGAGTCAATTTGTTATACCAGAATCTCAGGAGACATCCTGCAGGAGACAACCCAGCAGCAGGCACCCAGTTGTGTGTGTTCCCCACGAGCAATGTGCCATCAGGGCTCCACCTAAAAAAAATCATTCAGCAGCAACAACAAATGAAGTTTCCAATAGCATGCAAGAAAAGTGAGAGCCAAGTAAATCAAGTACCTTGTCCAAGACCATTCCAGAGATCAGCTTCAGTGCCAGGAACAGAACATACCTTGTCTACTTTCCTGCTGTTTAATTGTATTCACTCTGTAGTGGCTGCTCCGTGGCTCCCACAGACATGCTCTCTCTCTTGTATACATGTCCTCCAAATTCTTTACCTCATCATCTTATCTTCCCAGCTTAACCTTAAGGCAAATGATGCATGTTCAGCAATTACAGCTTTCTCTCCAACTCAGTTCTTCCAGCTCCTTTTGTTCTCTCTCAGCTACCACTGGCATGGAGGCAACCTGAATGCCAACACTGTGACTCCAACCTTGCTGCAACACGGAGTGAAGGAGACCAGGGGACATCCTGGATGCTCCTCCAGTTCTGACTGCAGACAGCCCACGGGAGCAGACCCAGCCTGCAACAGTGATTCCTTCCACCTCTACATTCCTTTTGAGGCAGGCTTGCAGGTTTCTTCTGTCCTGTGCTTTCAACACAGCTCCCATATTGCACAGATTGACAGCTATCAGCAATCTCTGCATAGTTCTGACATCCTATATGCTAAGCAGTAACAGGTGACTTCACATCAAAGGCAAATCTGCCACATTAAGTATAACCCAGTACTATTAAGTATAACCCAGTACCACAGATTAGCATAATTTCCTGCAGCTCTGCTGATTATAGTACAAATTAATACATCGTAATATATTAGCAAAGCTTGCCACAGAAGCTGAGGAGTGGGATCTGCTCTGTCCCATGCAAGGTATATTTTAGATATATATTTGAGAATGGAGTTGACCCACAGCAGTCAATTCAAATTCACCTCTCTATGAACAGATTTTCAGTCATCGTTTACGACCCAGGCCAGCTGCACATCCAAGAAGTGATTTGTACACAGATGCTTCATTATGTGCAGAAATAAGCAAGAAGTTCAGAAGATATCTCAGCTGGAAGCTACCCATGCCTGTCTGTCTCACGATAAGAGGAAACCTGGGAAGTTCAAATGCAAAACCAAAACCAACTGTCTGAAGAGACTCTCCAGCTCACTCTGTCCTCCAATATGTCCAGAAGCATCAAACTGTGTCAAGAACGCAAGATGAGTTAAAACTGTGTGAGAACTAAAATGATCTGCAGAAAAAAATCAATGCAAACCTGTGTTAAGGAGCCACACGAGAGATTAGAAAAGATCAGTAGCTTAACAAGAAGTTTTTGAGGAACAGAAATATTAATCATACTTATTATGCTTTGCAATGCCTTTAAGGCAGAGCTTGCCTAACAGAGGTGCTGCATTGCCATTGATTTCCCCATAAGGTCCATGATGTATGAAAAATTGAGGAGCTGTAATGAAAAATTATTTGCTAGCTAGATTGGAAAGTTAGCTTTGCAAAAGTAACTTGTATGCAACTTCCATAAAGCAGGAGAAACATTGTACTGTTCATGACCGGGTAAGGAAAACAGCATGGAGTAATGTGCAAAGCAGGCTGGGTTTCCACAATCAAACTAGGGAAATTACAGTAACATCTGCAAAGATTTTTTCCCACCTGGGCAACCCTTCAAGCTCGTGTTGTTGGGAATTTTTTGTGCCTATCAGAGGGAGGATGACTTTTTGGGTGCTTGTGTATTCATGGCAAAACAGAAGGAGAGGAGAAGGAAATGTTCTCCATCTTCATAAAGTTACAGTGGAAAGGGACTGCTGTTCTTCAATACACAGGAACAATATTGTTTTCACTTAGCATCCAAAATGCTTTCATTTCAGAGCCAGGACAGGATTTTATTTGTGGAAATCAAAACCCATTATTGTGTGTGTATGCTTACAAAAACTCACCACCTCTGGAGTGAAATGTGACAGCTGTTTCACAAATAAGAAGCAATTTCCACTGATGAAATGCAGTGCAGCAGATAATAGTCTAGCCGGCTGCCTTACAAGGCTTCCTCTTTTGGATATTCTTTCTTTTTTTCCTCCCCTCTCTCCTTCCAATGCAAACCACCTTTCCATCAGACTCAGCAGACTAATTGGGATTTCAAACATCAGTGTGTCCCCCAAACACACATAAGGTGCTTGCAGTGTCTTCCAGCCAGCAGGTGGTTGCCTGCTTTTGTTCAAAGTGTTTTTGCTATTGCCCTGATGGGCACTTTCCACAGAAAAATAACCCAGATGAAGGTCACAAATGCAGAACCACAGTGCTTCACCCAAGCCTTCTTCTCTGGTACCATCAGTATAGAAACTTTATTTACAAAAGCACCTGCCTTTCTGGGCATGCTGTAGCCTGTAGGTATCCAATACCCCTGTGCTGAAGCACCTGCCTTGAATTAAAAGAAATCTATCCTATCTTTTGCTCAGGTTTTAGCCCCTTCTGCCTTGTAACAAGATCAGAGTGTACCAGTTATTAAAACCTAACACAATAATAGCCAGCAATGCTTTTGTTGCCTCAGCTGTTTGTAAGATGAAATACTGGCACTTTCCCACAAGGCTTTATCCTTTCTGAAATCCTGCTCAGCAGTCTAGACTGACAGACATTGGGCCCCAGAGGAATTGCAACTGAGACTACATGCAAATGCTCCAGCACTAACACAGCCTGCTCATTCTGTGATAACGCACACCACTGCCCTGATGCCCAGATGTCCCAGGAGCCCTGCGTGATGCTGAGTCTGAGGTGCTGTGTTCCATACAACTGAAGAAAAGGAAAGAGGACAAATATTTGAACCACTTCTGTGACCACAAAAACCAAAGCAGCGACTGAATTCCTGGGAGGTCCATGTTGAAGAAGGCTCATTTCAACAACTGAGAAGAATGCATTTTCCAATTTCTCAGTGCAGAAAGCCTGCTATATCCACCCACCTTCTTAAGTGCACTGAGTGGTCTGCACTGAGCTCTTTATTTCCGCAGCCATCTTACTATCAGAATCTGTGCTAGAAGGTCACAGCGAATTCAGGTAAAGCCACAGATCTTCCTTGCAGATACACCTTGTCACCCAAGGCAAAAACATCTCAGCTCACATCTCACAGCTGAGCAGTAGCAGCCCAAGTTGAGCGATCATCTCAGCTGGTGTACTTTGTCACCTTGATGTGTGCTTGCAGAAGGAAGCCACCCTGGGCATAGGGTTTATTAGTGCATGCAGACTCACTGCTGGTTCTCACACTGCACTGGAACCAGCTATCACTTATCCAGCCCCCTCCTACTTTCCTTTTCCTGCCAGCATTAAAATTGCCGGATTGGCATTTTCAGCATGACCCTGCCAAGATGAATTTGAACTACACACACATCTGTCTTCTTCACATCAGGGTGAATCTTCTTTCATTGCTCCCAGAGTTGTTAATCCTGCTCCTCTGGGATGGTACCAGGATGGTTTTTTCTTGAGGATAATCAGGCTGTCCAACAGGATTCTAGAAAGGACATGCAGTTCCTGATGCATTTTTACTTTCCATATTTGTTTGTAATTGGTTAATTTAGTCCCACTGGAGCAGGAAATGGATAGTTAAGAGTTCAAGGACAATTCTGGTATTTTGTTTTTAAATGGCATTTATAGGTGATAATTAATCAGAAGCATATTTCAGAACTTACAATTAGGAGGAGGAGTCTTAAAGATAAAACAAACAAACCTTACAGGAAGGAACTGGAGAGAGCAGGAGAGAGAAATGAGCATTCATTCATTCATTCCTCACAGTAAACCGTTAACACAGCTGTTCAGATAACCAAACTGGGGGCCATAATAAATAAGGTAGTGCCACAGGATACCCCTCAAAGGGCCAAACAGCTACAGAAGGCAGATCCCACCAGCATCTCTTCAGCCATGAGAGTATCCTGCTGCTAGCATAATCTCAGGAACTGGACTAGATTACATCTGAAGGTCCCTTCCACCTCAAACGATTCTATGATTCTATGATTCTAGACTGGAGTATATAAGAACAGACACATACATGAAACCAGAGTGCAGCACATCAATGAAATGCCTTTGAAAGGAGAGAAGAAAGAAGTTTCTTGCCATGTCAGTCTTCCTTCCTCAATCCTACTGCAAGTAGAAACTCTAATGAAATGCAACACCTTCTGGGAAGAGCAGCACAAAACAACTGTTACTGTAACATAAGGGAAGGAAAACACTAGGGACCTCCAGTGTGACTACAACAGACATCAAAACTAGATGTATTAAGCAGCTATGTCTACAGGAAGCGAGAGACCATAATTTACCATCTCACCTGAAAAACAATTTTCAGCAGTATAAGGCTGCTAGCAGCAAAGTGCCTTGCTAGTTTATTGGTAAATCACAGGAGAGCATCTTCAAATGAAGCATCAGTGACAGGCAGTGATTTCTGCACAATCCTGTGCTCACAGCTTGGAAAATTTTCTGGGTGTCCCAGCAGAATAAACAAGATAAAGAGAGAGTGATTCAAGTAATGAGTAATAAAAAGGCCTAGGAAAGACTGCCTGATCATGGACAAATGTGATATTGGCAAGAATTAATGAGAGTGGCAAGACAGAAAGGAGCTGATGGTAAAAAGAGCATGAATGCGTGACAGTTCAGATCTAAGAAGATTTAAAGTTTCCAATTCCACTTTGGAAGTCCCAGATTTTATTTCATTTATTTTAAAATGAGCACCTGAGCATTCGGATGTGAGTTCAGCTTTTAGTATCACCAGAGGCAAAGAAGACTCAGGGTTAGAGTTATTCAGACAGAGCCTAACACAACTTCAGACAGCATTCAGTCTGAAATTCACCTGCTCCACCATGTGAGAAAATATTCGTGGTGGGACTGGATTAAATTGAATCCTCCAAAAAGAAAAGCCATTTATACTGAGAACAGCCTCTCTCTAAGCAGAGAATCAGAGGAAAATTCTGGCTGAAGCCAGGCAGTGTAGTCCAGGACCAGCTTTCTGTTTTAATTAATGGGGCAGCTTCACAAGCCCTGTGGTCATTAGCATCCCCCAGCAATTCCTACAGGACCTGCAACCAGATGCCAGTGTGTGGGAGAATGAAACACAGTATTGGCACTGGGAAGCATTCCTGATCTATTTTTTTTTAATTTTCAATTTTTAAATTACATAAAAACTTTAACCATGACAAAGTCATCCCTGGGATAGACAGCACATAAACCATCCCCAGAAAGGAATTTCCTCCCAGGTTGGGTATTAGGAAGAATTTCTTCGTAGAAGGAGTGATGAGGTATAGGAACAGGCTGCCCAGGGAGTCACCATCCCTGAAAAGGGTCAGTGTGGCAGTGAGGGACATGGTTAGTGGGCATTGTGGTGTTGGGTTGATGGTTGGACTAGATGATCTTAGTAGTCTTTCCAACCTTAAGGATTCTACAAATCCTGCTGCAAAAGTATTATAGCTTCATGAATAAAGCACAGGGAGGGAATAAGAAATGTTCTTCCAGCACAACTGAACCCAAAGTGGACCGAAGTGTTTCTGGCTCCCAGGCTACATCTCTGTAAGTCAGATCCAAGAGTAGCACCAGCACTATTTTCACTCGCACAACCTGAAGATAACATTCTTCTCTCTTCACTCTTCAGCCATGAAAATCAGTGCACCTTGAATATTTGGGGTGCTGAGCCATACCACGTCAGCCCTTCTTGCAAGCCACCAAGAGGAGAGTACCAAGGACTCTTCTGTGCTCTGTGTCACACACAGGCAGGCAATGATTACCCAGGTTTTATCCCAGTTGCAGAAGGTGGAAGCTTGCTATTCCCAGCCACATTTATTTATTGCTTTACTGTGGTCTCCATGGAAACAAGTCATGATATTAGAAGCTGAAAGAAGGAGGTCGAGAGGTCTGCAGGAGCTGCTGGGAGCCAGTGGCACAGAGCAGAACAAATGCTAAAACTAGAAAAGTGTAATTTCTCTGCAAAGAGCAATGAAATAAGTGGCAGGAGAGTTGAAAAGTACTAAATGTGAGAGGCCTGAACTTAATACCACTTCAATTATTTAACAAGATTGTCTCATCTATGTATTTGGATGAGTATGATCATACTGCAGGACCGCTGAGGTCGTCTCATCACTGCTTACAGACAGCGTCAGCTTATTGTAGCTCTGCACCCACTGGGCACCTTTGAATTACTTTTTATCAGCCTTCCCTACAAGAGATGAATAAGGAATAAAAGCCCTGAAGCCAGACACTTGGAGTTGTGCTTTATCCTACAGAAATCAGTGACACCAGGTGAGCCCAGAAGTAGTTCTAAACAAATAAACACAGAGAACAGAAGTAACAGAAACACAGCTAGCAGATGCATGCCATGTGGGCCTGCATCTCCATTCAGAGACGGTTTTGCAAGGGACTACAGCCAGACTGTACAATTAGAACAGTACTGACAAACTCTCTTAAGCTATCAAAATGCCTAAATTGAGAAAAGCATGAAATCTCCTCCCCTATCTATTCTATAAATTAGAGAAATATTAAACTAAAAGCGTATTTCAGACAAGGACCACAGGAGATGGTAGGGCACTACAGCGTGACCACTGGTCTTTCCTCCCGCCCCCCAGCATTTTACATTTCACTTAGAGAATATCCATCATCCACTCCCCAGGATAAATGCATACAACTTTTTTTTCACCCTAGAGGACAAACCATTTGAATTGTTTCATTTCCTTTATAACAAAGACCATAACCTACATCCTTGATACAACCCCTCGTCTGAGTTGCAGAATAGAGGGCAAGCCCAACCAAAAACAATGGTCGTATGAAGTAATTGCAATGCCTGGACAAGGTTTCCTGTAATTAATCACTGGCATAATTAAAAACAAAAATCCACTTCCAGCCTTGCTTCAAATAAGCTTGTTGCAGGCTTTTGTCTGCCACACTGAAGAGTGAATCAAGTTTTGTCTCCTTGTGTGCACTGCTGTCGAATCACCCATGACCTCTGTTGGCCACGTTCAATACATTCAGTTTCCGGAGTCTTTTGGTAGAAGACCAAAGCCCACCTGAAGGAAAAGCTTGCTGCTATATTTCGCAGAATAAATGTATGACAGCCACAGATATTTTAAATATGTATTTGTTCATTTTGCCTGTGCTTCAGAAAGGCTATTCCCATTACACTGAATTGAAAAGTGTTTCCACAATTACTGGGCAAACATCTGAATTCTCTAAGATGGAAAATTGCTAGTGATCTCACAGAGGGCCAGAAAGACTCTCAATCTTTAAGAAAGGACAGATTATTTCCCAGTACTGCAGTGCCAGGTTATTCCAAATATTCTGC